GCACAGCACCACCACACCGTGAAGGTGAGGTCCTGTGGCTTGATGGTAGAGTACAGGCACATACTTTACAGGGGGGGACCCTGTTTTAACCAGTGGAAAAGTCTCAGATATTTTATTTAGTTAATTTACATTCCATCTTTCTGTTCATTGAGAACCCATGGTGGCTAAAAATCAATAAACACATCAAATACAATAACAGCAGGTGTTTAGAAAAGCTTTCTCGGCCTGAGTCACTAGAGAGCTACTGCTGGTCAGAGGACACAGTACTGGACTTCACAGACCCAAGGTCTGACTTGGACTAAGGCAGCTGCATCTTCAAGGCCCGGCCTCTGATGGCAACTCACCTCACTTCAGAAGAAGGTGGAGAAAAACAGTGACAGGCCCGCCATATATAGGGTTTGGGGTTTTTTTGTTTTGATAGTTAGCTTCTTTTCTTTATAAACACTTTATCAGAGTTAGCAACTCTCTCAGCTCAACCTACCCAAGGGTGTTTAGGGCTGCAACATCCAGGTAGGACCACGACTGCAGTCACACACGCGAAATAATGCACTTTCAATCCACTTTCCATCTACTTTCCAATGGGATTTTTACCGTATGAAATGGCAATAGGAGAGCTTCCAATTACAACCAATCTCCAGGCTACAGAGATCAGTTCCCCTGGTGAAAATGGCTGCTTTGGAGGGTGGACTCAACAGGATTCTACTGCAGAGAGGTCTCTCCCCTCCCTAAAGCCTGCCCTCCCAAATCCCCTCCCTAAACAGCTCCACTCCCCAATTTCCAGGAACCTCCCAACCTCTTTCTGTTCTGGGCTTTTTGACCAAATTGCAGGTGAGCCCCTGTGTCCTCATGGCCATAACTGGACAGTGCTGAGCATTCCCTACCCATTCTTTCAGCTGTTGGCTCACATTAGGCTGCAAAGAGGGTAAAGCAGGGCATACTAGATGATCAGTTCTGGCAAAAGGGTGGCTGGTCATAGGACTGAGAGGCAGAGCATGAGGCCAAGGAAATGGAGGCTGAAATGTTCCAGCAAAGCTTTCTCAGAGTGAGACTGCATGGTGTCTTCCTGAGAAGACGGTTCAGAAGTCCTGGGCTACATGTGCATTTGCAGGACATCCCTCTTCTTCACCTTCCCTCTAGATGCAGAACAATGCTGCCTTGGGCTGCCTGGTGTCTCCCTGGCCAACCCTGATGCCAGCATCTGGGTGCAGGCCAGGGTGACTGAGGGCCAACTGCACAACATTCTGCCCTGCCAGTGGGGTAATTCAGCTGGGCAGAATGAGACCAGAAGCCCTTTATCTCCTTTCTGACCCCAGAGCCATTAGGCACCAACCTCTGGTCACAGCTGGCACACAGGTATTTTCTACCTGCCTTCTCTTCCATTCAGTTGACTTTGAATTTAAAAAAAAGTTGAGGCAGGAGTGCTCCTTCTCCACCCTCTCCTCCTCCCTCTGCCCTTTCCCCTCACATCAGGAGACGCTGATCTCTGACCCTCACTTTCCATGTGACTTTCCAAAGCTCCGGAAGTATGATGTTGCACAGTCTCCACTGTTACCCAGACCCATCCACATGTCAGGTCTGTCATGTGGAGAGTGTCCTCTAGTGCAAAAACTGTAGAACACAAGTCCCATGGCAAGAAGGAGTATGTCAAGTCTCTTGTATATACAAGTACTAGTCTGGTGCAATAAGATCTTGAGGAGGAAGGTTGGAAGGGAAACAGAAAGAAAGTAGCTTAATTACCATACCCAAGGAACAGAAGGATAAAGTTCAGGCAAAAGCAGAAGGCAGGGAGCAGTTGCAGTAAAACCATCACAAAGCATAAGAAGAGACTTGGGTTGGATCAGTGGTTTATCTAGTCCAGCATCCCATCTCACTCAGTGGCCAACTAGTTCTTCTGGACAGCCAACAGCAAGGCATAGAGGCAGAAGCCTTCTCCTGATGTTGCCTCCTGGCTCTGGGATTCAGAGGTTTAGTGCCTCTGAACATGGAATTTCCCCTCAGTCACCATGGCTAATGGCCACTGATAGGCCTATCCTCCATGAATCTATCTAATCCCCTTTTAGAGATGTTTATTCCTGTGGCAGTGAAACCCACATTTTAATCATATGTAGCAATCCAATGAGACCATTCACTTTTGCACAGCCTTAGTGTGTTGGTGCATTACTTTTAAGCTAAATGGTGGGCAGGGGGCTTCCAGTTAGGTTGCCAACTCTGGATTGCAAAATTCTGGAGATTTAGAAATGGGGCTTGGGACAGATGGAGTTTGGGCAGAGGAGGGAGCTTGTTAGGGATGTGACACCCTGGAGTCCACCTTTTGAAGCTGCCATATCCTCCAGGGGAACTGCTCTCTGTTGTCTGAAGATCAGGAGTAATTCTGGGAGATCTCCAGAGCCCCACCTGCAGGATGGATCCTGCCTTCACTGGCAAAAGATATATATAAAAGTTGTAAAGTATATTCCCTGGGCAGGGAGTGCCGAAGACTAGAGGGCACCACAGAGAACACCCTGATCCATGGCTTACTTTATTTCAGTTCAACAGAATGAGGAGGCAAGGCCACATGGTCCAGATTCTCTCTTGAACAAAATTAGTTACTAATCAAGCAATGTAGCTTTTGGCCTTTACTACAGCGGCTTTGAGATTCCTTAAAACGTTACCATTCCATTTTCTATGCAACAGTTATCAGGTACAATAGGTTTTCTGCTCACATCATGATGTGTCCGAAATGCAGTGGGAATTCTTTTTACTGAGTCTTAAGTCCTTCAAGCACTTTCCAATTCTTCTGGCAATAAACAAGCTTGCTAGGCTCCGGCAACAAACTTTATCCCCCTTTATAACGTGCCCGGCTGTAATGCTTCAAGTTAGATAGAACTGAGACAAAGGTCATCACTGTGTTTTTGTTTGTTTGGGGAATATATTGCACAACCCTTGACAAAATCACATCTGCTGGGTTTTGCAGCAGAATTTCTTTATGCTTATTATTTCAAATGCTTCATTACTTTTCCTCTTCCTTTTTTTGACTGCTAAAAAAAAAGAAGAAGAAGAGAAAGAATGTGGCCAGAAATATGTCAGCTCGACGGTGTGTAATTTGACAAGGGTTGTTTCTGTGCACTTGTATTTGAGCTAGTGAGATAATAATGAATCGTGCACAGCTTGGCAAATGCAGCTCGAAGTATCATACTAAATGACTACCTTGGTTTCCGAGCAGAACATCAAGTTACTCAGAGGAATTCAATATGGTTTCGACAGGTATTGCATCAAGGAGTCTGTGTTCAAAGACAGATGCCAATCATTTCCCAGGCATGTGTGCGAACGAAATGAGGGATGCTTCATGAAAGCCCTAGCGTTCCATAAAGTTTCTCTAAAACTTAACTTTTAAATTCACTCCAGATTAAATGTCACCTGCTGCTCTCAAGTCTTTATTATTATTATTATTTCGCGCAGAAATCCACCTCGATTTAGGATGACGGTGATGGTGAAATGGCAGATGGCGCCAGGCATTTGACAATTTCACGATGACCATTTTGAAACAGCTTTTTCTGCACATGAAGTTTCATTACAGACTTCTCTGAAGGGATCCTTTCCCAATCTTGTATGGCCAGTCTGCAAGGTTGTGCCTCCCCCTGTACACACCCAGGGGATGGGGGTGTGTGCAGTACTCCATAGGGGGAGCAAAGGAACAAGCCCTGTTATCAAGTGCAGATATACTGCACATGCTGGCCAATGGGAGGCCAGAGACAGGCAGGCTTAAACAAAGGTCCATACCAGCCACCTTGGCACTTTCCACTGGCAGTTCTATACCCTCCCTCTCCTTCCCATCTTACATTGTAGGATTACTTCGTCACTCATGGGCCAGTAGGAAATTTGGCTCAAACTCTAACAAGGTGTCAGCAAGCTGCCAAAGGTTCTTTTCCATGTGTATATGCTCACCCTTGTTTTTCCCCCTCTGTAGATGCGATCGGCGTGTCATGCACATATCTCTCCAGTAACTATGCATTCCTTTCAGAGTACGCCAGTCCTGCTTTGATGTACTGCTATCTCGCCAAGGCCACAGGTGGAAGAGCAGAGGAGCTTTGCTTTGTCTTTAATTAGCAGAAGCCATGGGAATTGCATACCTATTTACAATTAGGTAACCGTTGCTTTCCATGTTTATGAGCTGTTATGTTTATGAACTTGCTTTAACCTTTCATTCCTCTTGAGTCTTTGTTATTCTGAACAGTGACCCTATTCAAGTGCTTCATGGCTTCAATAAAGTAAAACCTTCTAGTAAGTGTGTGCTACGTTGTTTGCTGTGGGGACCTGACACAAGGTCCTCTTCCTTACTCTGCACTGTGGTTAAGGGGAGCCTGAGATTCCAGGTACTGATGGTCTCTCTAAGTAGACATTTACATAGCCCACAAATGCAGTGCAAGTTCAGGAGTCTTCCTCAAACCAGCTTTCAAGGCTGCTGAGATGAAATTCAAGATGGCATTACTTTTTGTCTGGGAGAGATGATGCCTCCTATGGCACATGCATGCATATGGGGGGGGGGGACGGCATGCCAGTCATCTTCAGTGCAATAACCGGGGGCACCATGATGCCTGCCAGTGAGTCCCTAGTGTCCATTTAGTGAACAGCAGACACTGAGTGGCAGTCAGACGTAGAGAGGTCGCTGACTTATTTGTCCTCAGAGAGCTCTAGATATGTAGTCACCCCAGTCGCTTATCTCTCTCAACTGGAGACTCCCAGTCAATGGAAGGCATTTCCCCCTGCCAGATGGCACGCACTCCCTTCTGCGGTTCTGGAGGGGTGATACAAAAAGGCTCCCAAGGCAAATAGGCTTGGCCCCTGTAGTTCAGGTGAGACTGAAACTATAGAACATGTATTAGTTTGCTGCCCTTTTTACCACGAGATTTACTCTAAGTTTATTCTTCCTTTGCTTAGCAGACATGCCGGTCGTTCAGATCTGGTGTATACCAGAATGTTACTTGCAGATGTAAAATCACAGAGAACAAGTTTGGTGTAGTGGTTAAGTGCTCATACTCTAATCTGGGAGAACCAGGTTTGATTCCACACTCCTCCACTTGCACGTGGCTGGGTGACCTTGGGCAAGCCATAATTCTGGCACAGCTGTTCTCAAAAAAGAGCAGTTTCTTTCAGAGTTCTCTCAGCCCCACCCACCTCACAGGGTGTCTGTTGTGGGGAGGGGAAGGGAAAGGAGCTTGTAAGCCACTCTGAGACTCCTTTGGGTAGTGAAGGGCGGGGTATAAATCCAACCTCTTCTCTTCTTCTTCATCTCTTAGTGCGGAGTTTTGTGCAGCACCTTGCAAAATCCATCAGAAACGTTTGCATATTGAAGAATTCTAACAATAATTGTACGTATTCATTTAATTATTGTTTACCCACTGTATTATACATACATTTTATTGTGATCTATGCCAACGGTGACTTGTGCTGATCCGTGACCACCCTTTGCGGGGAGGGCAGGGTATACATTTGATAATAAATAAATAAAAATAAATTGTATTGGATTGGATACTTCTTGAGTCTTCAGGATAAATTTCAAAGAATCATGAATAGAACAGAAAAACACAGGGAGCTTGAGGTCACTCCCTGACGGTTGATTGACCAACAAAGTGCTTAACTCATCCTGAAGAGGCACATCACAGCTTTGCACCCTCAGCTAGGCCATAGTCACAGATTTTCTTATGTCGCTGGGCTTGGCAACCTCTTCCTCCAATCACACAAGGAGTAAAGCCTCCTCTGTCATTAAAATGGGCACAACACAGCATTTCACAGCCAATACCAAGTTTGATCTGCCTTCTTTGAGCAGGGGTGCTTTGGAAGAGCCCAGAAGGAATTCCTTTCTGTCTGCTTCAGGTTGTAGTTGCCTCCATTGTAGAAGATCCAAATGAACCTCCCAATATTTTTGTGGAACCTCCAATATGTTGGTACCATGTCCCTGTAGTAGCCACATCATGGTGGCACCCCTTACTTCTTCTTAAGAGGGGCCATGACTATATGGTAGAGTATCTGTGTTGCATGCAGAAGTTCCCTAGGTTCAATTTTTGGCATTTCCATTTAAAAGGACCTGTTCTTCGGTCATGTGAAAGAGTTCTGAGTCTTGGGAGAGCCACCATCAGTCAGAGGAGATTGCACTGACCTTGATAGACCAATGATCTGACTCAGTACAAGGCAGCATCATGTGTTCTTTGCAAGGTGTTGAATGTGTGGGAGGTTACCCTCATGGGTCAAGCAGCAAACATGAAAACACGAAGCTGCCTTCTACTGAATCAGACCCTTGGTCCCTCAATAGCAGTATTGTCTACTCAGACTGGCAGTGGCTCTCCAGGGTCTCAGGTAGAAGTCCTTCGCATCACCTACTGCCCTGGAGATGCCAGGGATTGAAGCTAAGACATTTTTCATGTCAAGCAGATGCTCTGCCTCTGAGCCATGTCCCCTCCTCATGCTCTTGCAGCACAGAATCACTCTGTGTAGAAGTAGGCAAATGGAAATGACGGGATGGGGATGCCTCGAAGAATGTCTGCAGGAAGAACTCCTGCAGGGAGAGGCTCTGCAAGGGAAAGTTTCAAAGAAAAAGGTTGCATTGTCCCCCATTTACAATACAAACAAACAAACAAACACAAAAGTAAGTTTCAAAAGCCAACACTTTTTTTAAAAAAAAAAAGCCTCACAGATGTGACCTGCACAAAACAGAGAGAACAGACTATTCCAACAGCTATCACTTTTAAATAAATCAGCATTACTAAATATGCAAATAGCTGACATTTACTATGCTTTGTTCTCCATTTCCTCAAGACAGAATTACTGGGTAATTGATGGCTCTTTGATATCAGAGGGGAAATGTTTGCTTTGTCTTTTTTTATTTGATCAGTTTGGCGAACATTTAGTTACACTAAGTGAAAGAGCTGATTACAATAACCATTGTGGACTTTATTTCATGAAGCTTCACATCCCTGCAGTGTGAGGCAGTTAATATACCATCCATATACGAAAATGTGAAGGGGTGTGCCTGTAATCCCATCATGTGCATAGTGCTAAAATCCATGCTCTAATAAGGGAGAAATGACCTATTTCTAGAACAAATGTAAAATAGATCTCTGATGGGGCTAGAGTGCCTCCAAATTTCTCTTAATTTGAATTTCTCTGCAGGTTCCACAGTTTCAGACTACCTGCTTTTGTGTCTGGTGGAGCTGATGAATTAGGAATCCTTTTCTAGGTCCAATTTTTATTTCCTACATTTGCACAAAGTCATGTACAGGTGTTCGACACAGCTCGAGTTCCGTTCACGTGCTCTCCCTTTCTTGTTATCAACAAGCATGAATTCATTAATAAAATACTGCAAAAAGGCAAACTTGAGACAGTACATACAGTTGTATTGAGTTTCTTTATCTTTTGTGTGTTACCAGTACAGAGGAGTGCATATGTGTATTAGTAAAATGTCTCCTACCCAGGTTTGATGCAATCATACGTATGATCAGGGTTGTCTTTGATTGCAGTGTTAGATCAATAGACATTTATTTGTTTATTTGTTTATTTATTTTTCGTATTTATATTCCGCCCATCCCATAAACGGGCTCAGGGCGGGTCACAACAGTTCAATAAATACAATAAAATTTAAAACACATCAAAACATATGAAATCAATAGTCATGCTTGCCGTAGGGAGAATCTGTCCCACTGATGTAACTAGTTATGGCCAGTTATCAGTAGGTGGGAGACATATGTGGATGCCTGCTGCCTCAGCCACAGGCATATGTGCATAGTGAACATGAGAGGGGTGCACAAGGAGTAGACAGAAAATTAAAGCTGCACATGATTCCATGCCAGAATTAATTTTAGTGATAGATGGACATTTTTCAATGCAATCAACAGGCAAACTTGCTTTGACTGAACTCCCTGGCTTACGCACAAGGTGCCAGAGCCAGACAAGGTCACATCAGCAGGTGCATGATGTGCTGGTATGTGCCCCCATCCACCCCACCCCCCATTTCCCTCCCGCTGGTGTTTTAGGTACTGGCAGTCACCGCGCACTTAACCACTACACCGCTACACTACTACACCACCACTACACCAAACCTAATCACCAAACCTAATCACTTAGTGGTGTGTATCCAACCATGCTACCTGTTCAGTTGTCCAACAGAACATCATTTCCAATAGAGGAAGAGGAAGTAATCATTTCTACTAAGGATGTGCATTTTGGGGGGTGGGGTGGAAAAATTCAGATTCAGAGTTGTGGAGGGGGGCACCAATGCCATAATTCCAAATGTTCAGGTATGTCTATAGTGGGTTTTGTTTATTTTTAGGGGGAGAGGGGTTTGAGTTCCAGGTGTATGGGTCCATTGTTTCCTATGGGGAAACAAGGAATATTTGTGGAGGTCTTGAACAGGCAGTTGAGCTGAAAACAGCACCAACATTGCAGAGTACAAAGTTCTCCCTCTTTTCTAACATACTCCAGGTTTGAAGGGGGGCAGCTAAAGATATCTGGCTTTATGGGTCCCTAAACAGGGTGCCTCCAGACATCCTGATGTCCATTATTTCTTCACAGGAAAACACCATGCTTCCTCCAAGGCGATATCAAAGCACAACAGAGAAAAAAACCCTCCTCGAAAAAACAAAGCTCACCTCCCACAGAGCAGAGCGAACCCATAGGTCACCAGGCCACAGCCCGGAACTCCCAGCAGTATTTTGAGGGTGAGGATAAGAGCAACAGCATGCTGATGTCCCTTCCAGTGAAAACCAGAACTGGCATCATGACTCAGGGGATGTTCTAGGATTTGCAAACTATGGTTAAACCATAGTTTTTGGCAAATCCTAGACATCATTATGTGCTGGTATGTGCCCCCATCCACCACCCCCATTTCCCTCCCGTGGGTGTTTTAGGTACGGGCAGTCAATAGCAAGGTTTACTGGGATGTCTCCCACCATAGCAGGAGACCTGACAACCCTAGAACCCTTCAAATCATTGGAGCATTTTAGTGGCGAGCATTTTGAGTTGATTTTTTAAAAAAGAATCTGGTTCTGTATTTAGTGTGCCCCCCCCCCATTATTAGCTTCTGTGTTGGGGTATTCATATTTGGTTTTGGGTTTTTTAGTGCATTTACCTAGTTTTTTATTTATTTTTTTATTTATACGTTCAATTTATAGACTGCTCTGACCTGAAGGTCTCAGAGCGGTTTACAGGCAGGTTGCAAGTGCAAATTTACTCCTAATCTACGGCCACATAGTACAGGGCTACCTACCAGCACCCAGGTGGCGGGCTAGTTGTTCTTCCGGCTTCCGGCTTTCTTTTTCCTTCAGGCGGCCCAGTTTGGGGTCAGCATCCCACTTTCCGGTGTTCAGGAGCAGGTCCTCCATCTTGTGGTCTCCTGGTGCACAACCCTGTGTCAGTCTCGGCCCGGCCTATGTCCCTATTCGGCTCCGCCACGCCTGCGCCTCCACATCACTGTACTCCTCCGTGACTCCACCTCCACCTCTGCTGGGTCTCGCCATATGATGTTGCTCTCCACTGGCCACCAGGGATCGTTTCACCACCGCTCCACCGCCATTGCCGCCATTGCCACCATCGTCGCTGCCACTGCCGCTGATGTTGCCACCACACCACACACCTCACGAAGGAGGGTGCCCCCTACCCTCTAAGGGCAGGTACCCATTTATCTACTTGCTCCATTTTACTTTTGCTTTCGAACCGCTGGGTGGGCGGAAGCTAGGACTAGGGCCGGGAGCTCACCCCGGCCATGGTGGGTCTCGAACA